ACAATCACAACAACAACAACAACAAGACAAAGATCCCCCTGTAGCCTTTGACAGACTGTTGGGGCAAGTGGCGTTAGCGAGCAGCTATAAATGTTGGCACTGCGGCACACGAGGGGGTGGGTGGCCAACACCACGCCCGGTCGCCTTTGTCTCCCCAGTGGCGATGTTTACCACACCGCACCAGGTACTCGTTTTAGGCTGAGTGGACCTAGGGGAGGCCCAGGACTGGTACAGAACCAACCAGCGGCTTTTAGCTCGCCATCGAACACGGTCAAGCGCTTTCTGATACGCTTCTGCGGCCGTCTGGAACGCTCTGCTTTGCGATATTAGAAAGCCACCCGAGCATTGCATCTTTACATCATCGAGTTTGTAAAAGTAATTTCTTTAGAACGGATTTTTGTCTCTCGTTTGTTGTCCTTTCCCCACACCTCTTATCTGCGAAAGAAGTTCAACATACAGTACATACAGACAGCCACAACCACAACCACCGCCACAGTGCCGATGATCACTGTGACATTGTTTTTATAGCTTTATTTTGGTGATTTCGAAAACGTTTTGGTTTAGCCATATTTGTTTGTTGTAGCACAGAGTTAGACTGATAACTTTAATCTAAATCGTCTTATGGTTGTTATTGTTTGACTTGCATCCCACTGGGATTTTTGCACACAGCATTGATATACGGTGCTTTTTCGGGAAGACTTTGGTGTTTTTTTCTGGATTTTTCTGTTGCGCGAAGTCACTTTGAGATGTTTTCTTGTTCATGTTTTTGTTTGTTGCGGTTACACCCAAGTCAAGAGCCGAATGGCTCACAGGGTTATACCTAATACATGAAACTGAAACCATCATCAACAACAACAACTACCCTCACAGCTACAACCGAAACCACTCTACCTCAAACCCCAGCCACAATCACCATCAACCACAACCGATATGCGAATAGAGCAGGGCCCTCTTTTGAGATGTTAACTCCCTCGCCTGGTCTACAGGAGGTCGCGAGTTCGATCCCGACCCTGACGCCTTCTGTATGTTTAGAGTTTGCGTGTCTCTCTCTCTCATCATCATCATCACGGTGGCTAGGAAATGTTAACTTCCTCGCCTGGTATGCAGGAGGTCGTGGGTTCCATCCCGACCCTGACGCCTGCTGTATATTTGGAGTTTGCGTGTCTCTCTCCCCATGGCGCCTCGGGTGGCGGCGTCGGGTGGCGGGAGGGGACCTCACGACACAGACATTGCTCCAGGTGATGATGACGTTGTCGCCAAATACCCCCCTCTCCCCGGTATCGCGTAACCACGCGCGTGTGTGCACCTAGCCTGGCACAAAGCGCCGCTTCGTGGTCAACGTCTGCCGTCGTCGTCTGTTGTTGTTGTCGTTTGTTGTTGGTTGTTGTTGTTATTGTTGTTTGTGGTGGTGCCAAGTCGTCACGTGCGCGCGCGCGCCAGAGAGAGAGAGGCGACGAGGCACGCAGGTTTCTTTTGTGAATAAAGAAAACAGAAACACTTTGACGTTACGGCCCATTAAGGCCATGCCATTGAGCCGACATCGCAGCGGGGGTTGTGGGGGTTGGTGGGCTCAGTGCGGACTTGAAACGACAACAAGCCCAGCCTCGCAGTCCAACAAGGGAGCCTCCCGCGCTCGCCCCAGCGGGTTCGCAATGATGGCCGTTCCCGTAATCGGTCGTTATTCGAGTCTCATAAGATTACGCAAAGAAAAGTAACTGATGTCATTATTTTGTGTCACGTAGCGACCAATGTTATGCACATTAGAGGTTTTTATTTATTTTGGAGGGGATGGGGTGAGTGGGTTAGATCGCGTTGAATATAAGTGTGTCGTTAAACCCGCCACCACCCGACACAGCCAATGGGAAAGGTTTGTCACGTAAACAGAACGTGGCAGGCTAACCGGTGTGTTGGAGAGTAAACCCACAACATGTTGAGCGGTATGCCCTACTAGTAACTAATTGGATAATTAGCTGTGTTGATGATTGATCCAAACGATACTATCGATGTATTTAAAAAAAATGATTCCCTAGCCCCCCACCCCCCACCGTGTATCCCAGCGCTCTGTGTGAAAGCCACGTGGTGAAACAAGCGTTCGCTAAATAAAAAACAAATACTAAACACGGAGTCTCGTGACCGACGTTCATGGGGGCTCTGCCAATGCCGCGCTGCAGGGAGGAGGCGATGACCACCACTGCTGCTGCCGCTGCCGTGTAGTGACCCCAAATGTAATAATTGCGCCGTGTAATTGTACAATTTAAAGATGAAATCCAACACGGACCTTCACGCCGGCTGGTCCACAATGGCCCACAGTTGCCCACAATTATGACGCGAAATGGTGGCCCACGGTGGCCCACAATGATGGCTAAACATGGGCCACAGTGGCCCTCAAGTGTCTACAATGACGACCCACACGGTGGCCCACAATGGCCCACAGTGGCCCTCAAGTGTCTACAATGACGGCCCACGCGATGGTCTACAATGATGGCCCACGGTGGCCCATAATGGCCCCCGACGTCGCGGGATCTTTAACGTCCGCCTCGAGTGAAGCAGCAGACGGTGCCCGCAGTATAATCATTACTGTTGCTGTGAGCACTACGACAACAACGAACGCGGCAGTATTTTAAACAAAACTGTGTTTTTATTGTACGAGGCGAGGCCTCCCATTGAGCTCCTGTGCAGCGCTTCTTCAGAAGCGGCCTCGCCATCACAAGTGGGAGCGCCACGAAGGGGGCTTATCGCCATCATCATCACGTGGAAATGTAGAGCAGCCAAATAATCTGTAGACGCGTGGAATTACTTCTAAATGCGGAGGGAAAAGCCGGAGGAACCGGATAAAAAATCCACGCGACCACGGGGGGGGGGGGGGGTGAGAGACGCAAACTCCAAATATACAGCAGCAGCAGGCGTCAGGGTCGGGATGGAGCCCACCGCGACCTCCTGCATGCCGGGCGAGGGAGTTAACATCTCCGAGCCACCGCGGCGCGTATTGACTAGGGGCGGCCGCTGGAGGTTCGAACCGCGAGGCTCCGCAGTAAGCGGCCACAGCTGGGCCCCGCGTCGTCACCCCCCAATATGGCCGATATCCCCGTGGGATGCATATGCGCATCGATCGATATCTGAATGTGACATCCACGGCATTATCCACCTCCTTCTCCTCCTTCCTCCGCCACTCTCTGAAAAGAGAGAATCGCCCTGCTTGCGCAATCCGCGTCCGCGAGGCGAGGAGACTCTTGAGGAAATCTCGCGTTGGCAGAGCGACTCTCGTCTCGTCTCTCTCTCGACTCTCCTCTCTCTCTCGACTCTCCTCTCTCTCTCTCTCTCGACTCTCCTCTCTCTCTCGACTCTCCTCTCTCTCTCGACTCTCCTCTCTCTCTCGACTCTCCTCTCTCTCTCGACTCTCCTTTCTCTCTCGACTCTCCTCTCTCTCTCGACTCTCCTCTCTCTCTCGACTCTCCTCTCTCTCTCGACTCTCCTCTCTCTCTCGACTCTCCTCTCTCTCTCGACTCTCCTCTCTCTGACGGGCCCGCGGAAGCAGACACGACAGAACTACGACCGCAGATTCCATCGCCTCCTCCCACCCCTTTTTCCGACGCGCCCTGCCACACGAGAGTAATGTGTCGTCGCGTAACGAGTCAAAGCGATATCTTTATTTGTTTGAATTCTCAAAAGCCGGACAAGTTTTTGGCCAACTTAAGTGCGGAACTTAACGTGTCCATTGGGGGGAGGGGGATTTATTTGTGTCGTCATCGGTGGCCAGGCTGAGGTCATCATCAACTCACGAGCTTCCGTTTGTCGGTCCGTTTGTCCACCCGTCTGTCTGCCCTGTCCGCCTGTTCGCTCGTCTATCCGGTCGTGTGTTTGTACGTCCGCCTGTGTGTCTGTGTGTGTGTCTGTGTGTCTGTGTGTCTGTGTGTCTGTCTGTGTGTCTGTGTGTCTGTGTGCCTGTGTGTCTGTAGGCTCCGTCCGTCCGTCCGTCTGTCGGTCTGTGTGTCGGTCTGTGTGTCTGTCTGTGTGTCTGTGTGTCTGTGTGTGTGCCTGTGTGTCTGTGTGTCTGTGTGTCTGTAGGCTCCGTCCGTCCGTCTGTGTGTTTGTGTGTCTGTCTGTGTGTCTGTCGGTCTGTGTATCGGTCTGTGTGTCTGTGTGTCCGCCTGTGTGTCTGTAGGCTCCGTCCGTCCGTCTGTGTGTTTGTGTGTCTGTCTGTGTGTCTGTCGGTCTGTGTATCGGTCTGTGTGTCTGTGTGTCCGCCTGTGTGTCTGTAGGCTCCGTCCGTCCGTCTGTGTGTTTGTGTGTCTGTCTGTGTGTCTGTCGGTCTGTGTATCGGTCTGTGTGTCTGTGTGTCAGTCTGTGTGTCTGTCGGTCTGTGTGTCTGTGTGTCGGTCTGTGTGTCTGTGTGTCTGTCTGTGTATCGGTCTGTGTGTCCGCCTGTGTGTCTGTAGGCTCCGTCCGTCCGTCTGTGTGTTTGTGTGTCTGTCTGTGTGTCTGTCGGTCTGTGTATCGGGCTGTGTGTCTGTGTGTCAGTCTGTGTGTCTGTCGGTCTGTGTGTCTGTGTGTCGGTCTGTGTGTCTGTGTGTCTGTCTGTGTGTCGGTCTGTGTGTCTGTGTGTCGGTCTGTGTGTCTGTCTGTCGGTCTGTGTGTCGGTCTGTGTGTCTGTCTGTGTGTCGGTCTGTGTGTCTGTGTGTCGGTCTGTGTGTCTGTCTGTCGGTCTGTTTGTCGGTCTGTGTGTCTGTGTGTCGGTCTGTGTGTCTGTCTGGTTCCCCCATCCCCCCGCCCCCGGCACGTCGCTCCGTCTGTGCCGGGAGGGGCCAGGGGCAGACCGCCGGCGCCGGTCGACGCCGCTCCCACGCGGCGTGAAGGAGGCGCCACGAGTCGAGTCGACTCGCAGTTCGGTGACCCCCTCCCCCAGTCCCCATCGCTCTGGCCGACAGAGCCGCCACAGCGATCCGAGTTCACACCACCCACCCACCCCCACCACCCACCACCACCCACCCACCACCCCCCACCACAGCCCGGCCGCACCATCACGGCCTGGGGTGAGCTCGGCTCTCGATGTCTCGGACTGAGCCCGCCGGAGGGCGGCACGGCACGCGCGGGGGTGGGCGGCCAGCCCCACGCCCGGCCGCCTTTGTCTCCCCCAGTGACGATGTTTACTACACACCGCAGCCGGGAACTCGTTTGAGGCTGAGTCGACCTAGGGGAGGCCCCAGGACCGGTTCAAATAATCGTCACTGGGTGTTGGCGGCCGTGAGCGGGAATCGAACTCGGGTCGCCGGGTTCGTAGCGCAGCGTAGCGCTAACCGCTCCCCCACCGCTCCCTGCTATACACACCGTACAAAAACAAAGATCCTCCGTGTAGCCTTGATAGACTGTTGGGGCAAGTGCTGTTAGCGAGCAGCACCTATGAACGCCGGCACGGCACACGAGGGGGTGGGTGGCCAGCACCACGCCCGGCCGCCTTTGTCTCCCCAGTGGCGATGTTTAGACACCGCACCGGGTACTCGTTTGAGGCTGAGTCTACCTAGGGGAGGCCCAGGACCGGTTCAAGTAATCGTCACCGGTGTTGGCCGTGAGCGGGAATCGAACTTGGGTAGCCGGGTTCGGAGCGCAGCGCGCTTACCGCTGTACACACACAACTCACACAGTCGGACACACACCACTCACACATAGTCGGACACACACCACACACAGTTTGACGCACACCACACACACAGTCGCACACACCACACACACACACAGTCGGACACACACACAGTCGGACACACACCACACTCACACAGTCGGACACACTACTCACACACACTCACACAGTCGGACACACACCACTCACACACACTCACACAGTCGGACACACACCACTCACACACACTCACACAGTCGGACACACACCACTCACACACACTCACACAGTCGGACACACACCACTCACACACACTCACACAGTCGGACACACCCCACACACACTCACACAGTCGGACGCACACCACTCACACACACTCACACAGTCGTACGCACCCCGCTCCAGCTGTATAATAAATAAAAGCGCGTCGATCGTGGTGGCGCGTGCAGCAGCAGTGGCCGCCGCCGTCTCTACGTGGCGGCCACGAGCAGCAGCGCGGCCACGAGCAGCGGCGCCGCGAGTCGCGGGGACGCGGCCCCGGCCGGCGGGCAGTCCACCCGGCGAGCACCTCCACCACCTCCTCCTCCTCCTCCTGCGTCACCTCCACCGCGATGACGATGATCAACAACAGCACCACCACCAACACCACCAACAACACCACCACCACCGCCGCCGTCGTCATCATCGCCATCGTCGTCATCATCATCACCATCACCACCGTAGGAGCCAAAGTCCCCGCTCCCGGCCAGGAAGTCCTCTCCGTCGAAGCACAACTCCGCCATGTTCCGCTTCACCGCCTCGCAGAACGGCCTCTCGATGCCGTCGCAGACGCAGTCGCTGAGCTGCCGCGCGCCCTGCAGACTCAGCATGCGCTCGATGACGGCGCGGCACTGCGGGGAGCAGCGCGCCCCGTTGAAGAGCTGCCCGCAGCCCCGCAGGTACTCGTCCAGCGTGGCGCTGCAGCGCGGCTCCTCCAGGCACCGATGCCTCGCGTCGGTGCAGCCCACCACCACCCGGCGGCGGCCACCACCACCGCCGCCGCCGGTGTCCGCCGCCGCCGCGGCCGTGAACGTGCGCGGCAGGCAGGGCTCGAGGGCGCTCTTGGTGCGCAGGCAGCGCGGCTCCCGGCCGCAGTCGCAGCTCTCGAGCGCGGGCCCCGAGCGGGTCCGGTTGAGTTGGACCAGCGCCGTGATGCACAGGCTCGGGCAGCGGAGCGAGGCGGCCCCGCCCGCTCGGCCCCTTCCACCGCCCCGCCCGGGACCCGCACCCGCCGGGTCTCCGTCGCGCCAGCCGTCGTCCGAACCTCCTCCACCTCCGCCGTGTCCACCTCCGCCGTGTCTGCCAGCACCTTCCAGAGCTCCACCGCGACCTCCACCGCCGCCGAAAGAAGCGGCGTCGCCGCCGCGCACCGCGTGGCAGGCGGAGACGTAGCCGTCGTAGGCGCGCTTGCACTCCGCCTCCTGGCTGCAGCGCACTATCGCCTCCCAGCACGGCGGCCTCGCCGCCGCCTGCTGCTGCTGCTGCTGGGAGGACGAGGAGAGGGCGAGAGGCGCCCAGCAGAAGAGGAGCAGCGAGAGGGCGACGCGGCACGGGTGGAGAGGCTCCATGGCAGCTGGCCGCGGTCGACGGGAGAGAGGGCGCACAGAGACGCGGGGAGAGATTTGTTGTGGCTGTGAGTTTGTTGTTGTTGTTGTTGTCGTTTTATCTTCTCGAGCTGGGGTCGTCGTCTCCCGGTGTCGCCCTTGACTCGACCGTCTCCGCGGTGGCCGCGTCTTCTGCGCTCCGCGTGTGCACGTGCGCCTCTGCGTCTTCGTCGTCGTGTCTCGGCGTCTCCGCTGTCTCCTTACAATCGCAGGCGTCTTTGATTTTCTCCGCGCGTCTCCCCGCGACGTCTCTCCCCGCGACGTCTCCCCACGATGTCTCCCCCACGATGTCTCCCCCACGATGTCTCCCCACGACGTCTCCCCGCGACGTCTCCCCACGATGTCTCCCCACGATGTCTCCCCGCGACGTCTCCCCACGACGTCTCCCCACGACGTCTCCCCCACGACGTCTCCCCACGATGTCTCCCCCGCGACGTCTCTCCCCACGACGTCTCCCCACGACGTCTCCCCGCGACGTCTCCCCGCGTCCACGCGACTCCCACTCGACTCGGCGCTCCGCTCACGGCCGCCCCGTGTCCGCGCGCCGCCGCCGCCGGAGCCGCGAAGCGGTCGCGACGGAGACGGAACTCACCGCGGCAGAGCGACGTCGCGTTCACGATGTCGCGTTCACGCTGTCGCGTTCACGCTGTCCTTCTGTCCTTCTGCCGTTGAGTTAAACACACGAAGGCCCGGCAGCAGACACTCCTCGGCCTTCAAACGGCGACCTTCACGTCCCCTCGGAGACAGACACCCCGACGAGACCCCGAGATTGTATCCAGATACATGCCGCGTTGGCGCTGCAGCCCGATCTTCAACAGCAGGGCGAGTGGGTGAGGGCGAGTGGGTGGGCGAGAGAGCGAGCGACTGGGTGAGTGGGTGTGCGAGTGAGTGAGTGTGAGAGTGGGTGAGTGGGTGTGCGAGTGAGTGAGTGTGAGAGTGGGTGAGTGTGTGTGCGAGTGGGTGAGTATGAGAGTGGGTGAGTGTGTGCGCGAGAGGGTGAGTCGGGGAGGGAGAGAGGGCGAGTGAGTGTGAGAGTGGCTGGAGAGTGAGTGAGTGGAAGAGAGGGGGAGAGATTGGGAGAGAGCGAGAGGAGGGGTGGTGTTATGGGGGTGTGGCATTTGGAGAGAGTAAAATGTGCGAGCGTGAGAGAGAGGGGGGGTGGAGGGTGCCGGGTCGTCGATGGGAGACGGGGGGGAGGGAGGCACCAGGGAGGGAGAGAGGGGGAGGAGAGAGGGGTGGGGAGCGGTGGAGCAGCGGTTAGCGCGCTACGAAGCCGGCGATCCCAGTTCGATTCCCGCTCACGGCCATCACCAGTGACCTGGGCCTCCCCGAGGTCGACTCAGCCTCAAATTAGTATCGAGTGCGGTGTGTAAACATCGTTACATGGGAGACATGTAACGATGTTTGGCAACCAACCCCCTCGTGTGCCGTTCCGGCCTTTACAGGTGCTCGCTAAGAGCACTTGCCCCTGCAGCCTGTGAAAGCTACACGGGTGAAATTTGTCTGTTGAGTCGGAAAGAGTGCGAAAGAGAGGGAGGATCAGAGGGGTGAGTGTGAGTGAGTGAGGGTGTGAGTGAGTGAGTGAGGGTGTGAGTGAGTGAGTGAGGGTGTGAGTGAGGGTGTGAGTGAGTGAGGGCGTGAGTGAGTGAGGGTATGTGTGAGTGAGTGAGGGTGTGAGTGAGTGAGGGTGTGAGTAAGTGGGTGAGGGTGTGAGTGAGTGAGGGTGTGAGTGAGCGAGGGTGTGAGTGAGTGAGGGTGTGAGTGAGGGTGTGAGTGAGTGAGGGTGTGAGTGAGTGGGTGAGGGTGTGAGTGAGTGAGGGTGTGAGTGAGGGTGTGAGTGAGTGAGGGGGTGAGTGAGTGAGGGTGTGAGTGAGTGAGGGCGTGAGTGAGTGAGGGTGTGTGTGAGTGAGTGAGGGTGTGAGTGAGTGAGGGTGTGAGTGAGTGAGGGTGTGAGTGAGTGAGGGTGTGAGTGAGTGAGGGCGTGAGTGAGTGAGTGAGGGTGTGAGTGAGTGAGGGTGTGTGTGAGTGAGTGAGTGAGGGTGTGAGTGAGTGAGGGTGAGTGAGTGAGGGTGTGAGTGAGTGAGTGAGGTGTGAGTGAGTGAGGGTGTGAGTGAGGGTGTGAGTGAGGGTGTGAGTGAGTGAGGTGTGAGTGAGGGTGTGAGTGTAGGGTGTGAGTGAGGGTGTGAGTGAGTGAGGGCGTGAGTGAGTGAGGGTGTGTGTGAGTGAGTGAGGGTGTGAGTGAGTGAGGGTGTGAGTGAGTGGGTGAGGGTGTGAGTGAGTGAGGGTGTGAGTGAGGGTGTAGTGAGTGAGGGGTGAGTGAGTGAGGGTGTGAGTGAGTGAGGGCGTGAGTGAGTGAGGGTGTGTGTGAGTGAGTGAGGGGGTGAGTGAGTGAGGGTGGTGAGTGAGTGAGGGTGTGAGTGAGTGAGGGTGTGAGTGAGTGAGGGTGTTGTGTGAGTGAGTGAGTGAGGGTGTGAGTGAGGGTGTGAGTGAGTGAGGGTGTGAGTCAGTGAGGGTGTGAGTGAGTGAGGGTGTGAGTGAGTGAGTGACGGTGTGAGTGAGTGAGGGTGTGAGTGAGGGTGTGAGTGAGTGAGGGTGTGAGTGAGTGTGTGAGTGAGTGAGTGAGGGTGTGAGTGAGTGAGTGAGGGGTGAGTGAGGGTGTGAGTGAGTGAGGGTGTGAGTGAGTGAGGGGGTGAGTGAGGGTGTGAGTTGAGTGAGGGTGTGAGTGAGTGAGGGTGTGAGTGAGTGAGGGTGTGAGTGAGTGAGGGTGTGAGTGAGGGTGTGAGTGAGGGGTGTGAGTGAGTGAGGGTGTGAGTGAGTGAGGGTGTGAGTGAGTGAGTGAGGGTGTGGTGAGAGTGAGGTGTGAGTGAGTGAGGGTGTGAGTGAGTGGAGGGTGTGAGTGAGTGAGGGTGTGAGTGAGTGAGTGACGGTGAGTGGAGTGAGTGAGTGTGAGTGAGGGTGTGAGTGAGTGAGGGTGTGAGTGAGGGGTGTGAGTGAGTGAGGGTGTGAGTGAGTGTGTGAGTGAGTGAGTGAGGGTGTGAGTGATGAGTGAGGGTGTGAGTGAGTGAGGGTGTGAGTGAGTGAGGGGTGTGAGTGAGTGAGGGTGTGAGTGAGTGAGGGTGTGAGTGAGTGAGGTGTGAGGGAGTTGAGTGAGGGTAGTGAGTGAGTGAGTGAGGGTGTGAGTGAGTGTGTGAGTGAGTGAGTGAGGGTGTGAGTGAGTGAGTGAGGGTGTGAGTGAGTGACGGTGTGAGTGAGGGTGTGAGTGAGTGAGTGAGGGTGTGAGTGAGTGAGTGAGGGTGTGAGTGAGTGAGGGTGTGAGTGAGGGTGTGAGTGAGTGAGGGTGTGAGTGAGTGAGTGAGCGTGTGAGTGAGTGAGTGACGGTGTGAGTGAGGGTGTGAGTGAGTGAGTGAGGGTGTGAGTGAGTGAGTGAGGGTGTGAGTGAGTGAGTGAGGGTGTGAGTGAGGGTGTGAGTGAGTGAGTGAGTGACGGTGTGAGTGAGGGTGTGAGTGAGTGTGTGAGTGAGTGAGTGAGGGTGCGAGTGAGTGAGTGAGGGTGTGAGTGAGGGTGTGAGTGAGTGAGGGTGTGAATGAGTGTGTGAGTGAGTGAGTGAGGGTGTGAGGGTGTGAGTGAGTGAGTGAGTGAGGGTGTGAGTGAGTGTGTGAGTGAGTGAGGGTGTGAGTGAGTGTGTGAGTGAGTGAGGGTGTGAGTGAGTGAGGGTGTGAGTGAGGGTGTGAGTGAGTGAGGGGGTGAGTGAGTGAGGGTGTGAGTGAGTGAGTGAGGGTGTGAGTGAGTGAGGGTGTGAGTCGGAGAGAGTGTGGGGGAGGGTCTTACGGGAGGGGTGTGCTCGGAACGTCGGACGCGGTAATGCAGCTGTAGGCGCAGCCCCTGCAACGCCTCACGCAGCACACTGCGGCGGAAGGGGGCTCCACTCGAGGGAGCTCGGGCGGTGCTCGTACCCATTCGGGCTGAACGATGAATCGATTTCAAATTGAAGTCGCAATTTGAAGTAATGCGATTAGCAAATCGCAAAAGCTGCGATTTTTTGTGATTTGAAAAGTCCTACTATTACTTTCTTATTGGAAGTGTTGTATTTTTTATTATTATAACTTTATTTATTTAACTTAACAATTGTTCTTTGTTTGATTGTTCTATTTCAATGATTTTTTTTATAAATACATGTTGGAAGCAATTTATATATTTAAAGTTATCATCCTTGCATTAGAATATCTAGAGCAGTTCATATGTTGATTGTATCGTGTGGCAATGCACCATCGCATGTTTTAAATATGTTACACAGCTTGACTTAAACAAATGTAATCGCAAATCAAATCGCAATCGCTGTCTGATTCTGTCCATACTTCACCTCGCTGGCGCGTGCGCGAGTTTGGCGGGAAGCATCGACGGCGTGCAGGACAAGCGGGGAGCCAGCTGTAGATTTGGAGTTTGCGGTGTCTCATCATCATCATCATCACGGTGGCTAGGAGATGTTGACTACCTCGCCTGGTATACAGGAGGTCGTGATGAGTTCGAGCCCGACCGTGACGCCTGCTGCTGTAGATTTGGAGTTTGTCTCTCTCTCATCATCATCATCACGGTGGCTAGGAGATGTTGACTACCTCGCCTGGTACACAGGAGGTCGCGATGGGTTCGAGCCCGACCGTGACGCCTGCTGCTGTAGATTTGGAGTTTGCGTGTCTCTCTCTCGTCATCATCATCACGGTGGCTAGGAGATGTTGACTACCTCGCCTGGTATACAGGAGGTCGTGATGAGTTCGAGCCCGACCCTGACGCCTGCTGCTGCTGTATATTTGGAGTTTGCGTGTCTCTCTCCCCGTGGTCGCGAGGATTTTTCTCCTGCGGTCCCCCCCCCACCCCCCACTTTGAGAATCAACACCACCACGCGTTTAGAGTCATTTGGCTACTGATATAAATGTCCACGTAATGATGACGATGATGACGATGATGATGATGACAATGACGACGATGTCGACGATGATGATGATGACGATGACAACGATGATGATGATGATGACGATGATGATGACGATGATGACGATGACGACGATGACGATGATGATGACGATGACGACGATGTCGACGATGATGACGATGATGATGACGATGATGACGATGACGACGATGACGATGATGTCGGTGAGTCCACGTCGTTGAGCTATCGTTTGTGATGGCCAGGTGGCTTCTGTAAACGAGCTACGAAGCTCAGCAGGCCCTTGCCTGGTAAAGTTAAACAAACCTTGTCTAGTTGAGTTCATTAAGAT